CCTCACCACCGCCAACGCCTACATCAGCGACGTCACCTCTGAGGAGACGCGGACGTCGCGGGTGGGCTTCGCCAACAGCATCTGGTTCCTGGGCGGCCCCATCGGCACGCTGCTCGGAACCTACATCTACAAGTACGGCGGCTACCAGATCCTGTTCGGGACTTCGGTGCTCATGTACGCCGTGTCCCTCGTGTACCTCTTCTTCCTGCCCGAGAGCCACGGGCCCTTCAAGAAGACCAAGACCGAGAGGACCGAAGCCTACGACACCGACCAACAACCGCAGACGGCGCCGAGCAAGGACTCTCCCGAAGCCGAGAGCGAGAAGCCGGAGAGCGACGGCGAGGAAATCACGGCGTGGAAAATGGTGTGCGATTTCTTCAGCTACGACCGCATCGTGGACTCATTCCGGTGCACATTCAAGGCGCGCGGGGGCATGGTGAGGGCCTTCATCCTCCTGCTGATCCTGTGCAACCTCCTGCGACGCCTGGGAAGAGGTAAGGACTCCCCGACCCCTACCCCACCCCCACCCCACCTCACACCTGTTCAATTCACCCGGAAAATGTAAAAGGTTTATTCCTGTAGAGGGAGGAGGGCATGGAAGCTTCTAGATCCGTGGAAGTTGTTGCTACCCAACCTGCTTGCTTCCAGCCGGCCAGACTAGGGGGGGGGAGGAGGGGAGAGAGGAGGGGGTGTTAGGATGGGGTAGGGGATGGGGGTGGCGTGAAGGGGGCAAGAACAAGTATCAAACACATTAATGAGTCATATTCACAAGATTTCGCTTGGTAACTCTCCGGCGCATGGTAACTGAAATATATAGACATATAGATATAAAACTTCACAGAATCCATTAGCTTTGTTGCGTTATTCAACAAAGAAAAATAAATAATTTAGAGAATGTGAGCTGCAGGAATGAAGAAACAACCAAACAGCTAATGATATAAAAGTTTCGTTTGTTTGTGCTGAATTGGCTCGAACCAGAATGGGGAAGAAGGAATTTAAACGTACTTTGTAGCTGATAAAAATTTAGGGTACTTTGCATGGTTCATACACACACACACACACACACACACACACACACACACACACACACACACACACACACACACACACACACACACACACACACACACACACACACACACACACACACACACACACACACACATATATATATGTGTGTGTGTGTGTGTGTGTGTGTGTGTATATGTTGGTGTGCGTCTGTGTGTGTGTGTGTGTATGTATATAAAAATATATATATGTATATATTATATATATATATATATATATATATATATATATATATATATATATATATATATATATTATATATATATATATATATATATATATATATATATATAATATATATATTATATATATATATATGTACATACATACATACATATATATATATATATATATATATATATATATATATATATATATATATATATATGTACATATATATATATATATATATATATATATATATATATATATATATATATATATATATATATAATATATATATATATTATGTATGTATGTATGCACACACACATATGTGCGTATATATATATATATATATATATATATATATATATATATATATATATATATATATATATATATATATATATGTATATATATGTGTGTATGTATATATGTGTGTATATATACATATTTTTTATGTGTGTTCATATATATGTATATATACATGTCTGAATAAATCTATCTATCTATATCTATCTATCTATCTATATATATATATATATATATATATAATATATATATATATATTATATATATATATATATATATATATGCATATATATGAGCGTGTGTAATATGTACACACACACACACACACACACACACACACACACACACACACACACACACACCACACATATATATATATATATATATATATATATATATATATATATATATTATATATATATATATATACTTACCATATTTATGTGTGTTTGCTTGGGCTTGTGTACACTGTACAGTCTGCAGTTTGTGAATTTGTTTATGTGCACATACTTTTATACATACATACATAATCATCTCTCAAACTTCATCACACTTCCCCACACCATGGCTAGTCTGACCCCCCCCCCCCCCCCCTCCGAAGAAGAGAAAAAAATGTAACTTTCACTAATGTTCTTAACTTCAACTGCACCGGATTTCCAAAGCGGGCGACTATGATTCGTATTTTTTTTCTCTCTCGATATTATCACATTTATCCTTATCTTATTTAGCGAACGAGTTTTTTTTTTTCTTTTTTTTCATCGTTATATTCGATATAACTCATAATTCATTTAATGGCAAGTCAAACAAGATACTCTATTTTGCCGCCAGATTATCACTACACTTACCATCCCGTTACTTACATTCACCACATTATAAGTACACTCACCACCGTCGACTCAAAATCACCCATTTCGTCATCACATTTTTAAATCATCATAGTTCTTACCACACACGCCAA